TCTTCTTGTTCTTTAACCATATGCGCTAATTGTTGAAAAATACCCCCTAACTCAACTATAGTAGATTCTATATTTTGCATAGTTTCGGCTCTCGATTGCACATACGCATCCTTGAAGAAGTAGATATATATGTATTCCTATTATATTTAATTACTTCACACTCTTGCCGCTATTACTTACAGTATCATCTTGTATAATTTGTTGTAACTGCTGATTCATCACAGGTTCAAGATCTATCGCAACTGAACTACTAGAAATTTCTTCTTGTAGTAACAAGGAACCTTGTTTCCCAGAAACAACACTCGGAGGGAGCATAGTGGACAGAGATCCTTGAGTGAACTGCTGTCTCCTGCTTTGTTCCTCTCTCATATTCTGCATCAAATAATTTATTTCTTAATGTTTTAAAGTTATTATTTAATTATTATTTTTTAATTTTCCATAACACATTTATAAGCCTATATTCTTTTTGGCAATATCAATTAAATTTATTGTTATTCATAATATTGCCAACAAAAAAAGATATTAAAGAAAATATGTAATTTATCATAGAATATACATGCTATTTTTATCAAAGTACAGAAATTAATTGATCCTAAACTAAAATATTCTACGACAATAAATTTGAGTTACATACCTCAGAACGAACTTCCAAGACACTTTTGAAATGATTAGACATATTAGCTAGCTTTGATTGCAATGTCATCACAATTGAGGAAGAATGAGAAGCAATGTGATGACTCTGAGAAGAACCAAAGCTTTCTCTCTGCGACTTTCCAAGCTCTTGTAGTTTCCCGATTTGAACATTTAAGCTTTTTAGATCCGTTTTTATAATATTTGTAAGCTCTTCAATCTCCATTTGTCTGTCGTTAAATATGGATTTTTTCTTAGCCACTGTAACATAAAATATTAATTATTACAGAACATTTTAAAATGTTTTTATTTCGTAACTTTGCTACCATTTCAGTATGTTCCAATTATTTTTATTCTGTTATGTGTGCTATACAATCTTATAAAGTAGTAATAAAAGTTGACGATAATTGCCAATGATAATCTTAACGTTTCTAATAAAAACTATTCTGTAACCTTTCGACAGTTTAAGGACCTGTTGTATACCGACTTTCATACAAATCTACACACAAGTCTCAAAAAATAAACAATCTTTTTTACACAACAAAGGTAGTTCTATTGTTTGCAATGTTCTACTTGGATACAACATATTGTAATCGTCTGAGCTATGCTCAGCTGAGCTCTTACACAAGGCAAGTTTCTCCAACTTGATATATGTGCCAGCAATATTCCTGCTAATATTCTTAGCTATCATCATAAAGTTCGAGTAGCTCTGTATTTGGCGTGCGCGACGCGGATTTTGCAGGTTCGCTGCGGTCCGCGCCACGGTCCTGCTCTGCATGGAACGGATCGCGTTGGCGAACTCATTGGTTCTGTCGCGGGATGTCATCGTCGTCGTCGTCGTCGTTGTCGTCGGCTGTTGCTCACTTGGGTCCAAATCGACAGTCTCGTCGCTCAACAATCTGCTGCTCGCTTCGTCTCCATCGTAATAGTGCCGCGAGCCGCCCGAGCTCGTAAGGTCGCGATTCACCACGGGCCCTACAACATGACGTCTGCGTGCTGACATCGCAGCATCCTCTCAGCTTTCTCCACGTGCGCGCGTGTCCCGAAGGCTTCGACCACCACCGAGTCCGATAACGTCAACAGATTGCAGCGGTGGCGGCAACGGTGGCGACGACGGCAGCGGACACGTCCGCATGACATCCACACATGACAGTCTCCGCTGACAAGTCTATTCACATACGCAATACGCATGCGTACGCGCATATACGTGCGAATACTCGCGCGTCTACAATCGGGTCATAGAAATACTGTGAACTGTCACGTGCGGCAAGTTCAAAGCCGCGTTGGCGTACGCAACGGCGCGCCATTTTTCTCATGGACGCGCGACTTTTGAACGGAGGAGCTTATTCGCAGTGGACTAGAATCGATTCTAGCCGGCCAAAAGTCGGAAACAATGAAATGTTTCATCTTTTGTTGCATATGATTAAATTAGCTTTTAGTAAAAATATGTAGTACAAACATTTTTTTTAAATCTTTGAAAACACTTGAATTAATTATAGGATCAAATTTCCGCTACGTTATAATATAGCAAATAGTTCTTATAAGTATGCTTAAAATAAAATTCGGTTTCTATTATATCAGCAGCTAATTTAATCGTATAGAATAAAAAAATACAATTTATTTTTTCGACTTTTGGTCGATTAGAATCGATTCTGTCCCATTTTGTGTCGTTCCGTTGATTCTATACGTTTTGTATCTGATGATAAAAATTCAGCAAGTTCTATTAATATTTATAAGAAAAAGAAAAAATAACTCAAGGGAAAATTATTTAAAATTTAATTATATGAAATTACAATTCCAGCTTTAGGATAAAAATTAGATTTAAAAGGTCAAATAATAATCATTGCATGATTTGAAAGTAAAAAGTAATGAAATACATGAAATTCTCGAAAGTTATTATTAGTATTATAAGTATAAAGTGCTGTTCAATGATAGAAAATGTCAATATCTTTTATTCTGTGTTATATCGCTATTTATTCATTAAAAAAACAAGAAATTTTCGTTAAATTATTTAAAAAAACGAACGGTATTATATAATATAAGAGCAAAAAACATTTTCCCCAAATTGTTACGATAGTAACATTGGCGTATTCAAACCGGAAAAAGCTGCTAGCCTGCTCACCGCGATTGAATATTTATGATTGGTTGAATTTATAAGAACCAACCAATCGTGTTTATTTGCTTGGCGAGCAGACTAGCCGTTTTGTCAACTTGAATGTGTCCATTATCATGCGCGGGCAATTGATTGAAAAAGTTAATGACCGCAGCACAGACTCTTGCATAACGCATAATGCATAAGGGAATCATCCAATCAAAATTCTTCTTTTCCGTGAAATGGGAGGAAAGAATTTGATTGGTTGATTCGCTTATGTACTATGCGTTATGCAAGAGTCTGTGCTGCGGCCATAATCGTCACAGATGTTTGATTTTCATTTATTTCTCTTGATAGAAAACTTGAAAAATTTGAGAGAAAATTCGGAAAAATTTATTTGTACGATAGCATTTATGTGAATTGCATTTATTGACACATTTAATATATATTTAGGCTGAACTTAAGTCTAATTCGGACTTTTATGTGTTATCTTAAAACCTTAAATATCGGATATAAAAATTATTAAGATGTAATAATTAAATCGTAAATTTATGTAAACTACATTACATACCCAGTGAGAAATGACAATGGAATCGATGTTGAATTGACATCGAATCGATATCGATTTAATGTCGATTCCATTGTCATTTCTGACTGGGATATAGTCGTATTGTCGGAATATAATTTGCTACTATTTTATTGCATCAACTTTTTTTTTAATCAGCTTACAGTACGACTTACAATCCGTAAGAAATACATCTGTATGTCTATATGTATTACAGTACGACTTACAATCTATAAGAAATACATCTGTATGTATGTACGTATGGAAATATGTGAAGATAGCACTACAGGAGAACGAACATTTTTCTTTCTATAAAATTATAAAAAATCGTAACATTCCACGGTAGATATTTCAAACTTTTTCTCCGTAAAAATAGTTTATGAATATTTATTTTCTGCGTGGATATTTGACCATATAATTGTATGTGCCTTGAAAAATTGATGTTTTTCAGCATTGAAGATACCAATGCTTGCGTTCAACAGAAAAGAGCAACTTTGCAACTGTTGTAAAATTCTTTAATATGATTGGTTTGCTTTTAGTTCCTTACTGGATCTAAATATATCTACCTATAAACCAATCATATTAAAGAATCTTACAACAGTTGCAAAGCTGCTTTTGCTCTTGAACGTAGCCATTGTCAAGGAAACTGGAAGAACTGGAATAGCTGGATATATGCACAGGAAATTACAGATTTATTAAATATCAACTTCGTGTAATTTTTTACAAGATAAAAGTCTCTGTGTTCGTTCTATAAATATATACATACGAAATATGTTAAAGCGATACATTAGTAATTTACTTCATATTCGTATTTGGTCATGTAAAACGTGACCAACGTTGGATCAACTGGACTGGAGTAAATATTCCACTTGGCGGACGATGGAGCGGTATAATTAGTTATTACAAAATGGCCTTGCATATATGTATATGTATATATATAAATATATCAACCAGTAAACCGACATGATATGTGACGAAGCATGTGGCTCCGGCGCTTTCACTTTTTTTGCTCGACATTCATGTAAGATAGAACGAGATACGCGAGAATTATATGTAGAAAATATATATATTGATTACTAAATATTACTCATTAATTATCGCACACCAGTTTCATTTTTACTAATTTATAAAATATACAAAAATCTTTAACGCCTTTTTGAAATGTCAGATACATAAACATGTACGGAATATAAATTAGAAGGGGTTCAAGTAATTAATTTTTGAAAAATGCGAGAAATTACATAACACTTTATTTCCATATCAATCGCTGATGCATATGTGTCTTTCAAGCGTATTTCATAAGACATATGTATAAAATTCAACTGTTCGGACTATTCACGATATAAAATGTTCAGTTGAAAAATGTAAACGCACATTGAGCTTTAAATCTCATCTATTTTAATTCCACGTTTAACCGGGAGTTTTAATTTGATTCGAAAGCTTTTAATCGATTAATTAACTTCAAATAAATTCTCGCAATTAATTGAAACCAATTAGCCCCATCTATTCTCAATTTGTATTATCTACGTGTCTATAAATATCCCAGCTTATTCTTTTCAGCGACAGCGATCTTTTTTCCCGAAGAAATGCAGGTAAACGTTATATATATATATATATATA